CATACATACACATACATACATACAAACATACACACATACATGCAGATACACAAGTGTATACATTGTGCACTAAGGCCCCGAACAATCAATCCGGCACAGCAGACCATACATGAGCAGGAGATGGACAGAGGGAGGAAGAGAGAGAGAGAGGGAGAGAGAGCGAGAGAGAGAGAGAGACAGAGGGAAAGAGAGAGAGAGAGAGAGAGAGAGAGAGAGACAGAGAGAGAGCGAGAGAGAGAAAAGAGGCACAACAAGAACACCAGCAGCAACAGCGGTAGCAACAACAATAACAACAACAGCAAAAGCCCGACACTACTTGTCCCGTGACATGACATGCAACAACACTTAAGACTAGAGAGACACAGGTGGAACAGACCAATCCCACATGAGCCCGACAGCCTTGCCATTGCCAAACTCCAAATCCTTCTCGGAGGCTTTCTCCTTCTTGCTGGCAGCCTTCGTTGCGGCCGATTACACGACTCCATGGAGAAAGCATTAAAGTGATGGGCTTTAGCTTTCGGAGACAGATTGGGAATCTAATTGATTGATGTTCAAGCAGATTGCGCATGCTTTGCATAAGTAGGAACACGACGGGCTGCTTGACTCACATGTGCAGCAAAGGCTTTGCAGATGTAGGACACACGACCGCTGCGTGTGCAGGAACGATGTGCGTCTAGGCATATAGCCCCCAACCCTATATAAACCCTAAGCCCAGCCTGGAGAGACTGCTTCAACTTGTCGTCGGTCGCACCCGGATCGCTTGTAGCTTCCTGCGGCAAACTGAGCCAAGGTATTGCTGATGCAGAGTGGGCTTCGATATCACCGGCGTGCTGATGCAGAGTGGGCTTCGAAATCATCTACGAGGATATTTTTCAGGAATGATAGTGGGTCCTCGAAGTCATAGGGATCCACAGTTGCGCTTGGTGAGGCTCTGCTGGGGCTGTCTTGCTCCTGCTTAATCGGTTTCCTTGCGGATCCATCAGACTTCTCAGAAGCTGTTGCGGTTGGGGCTGGGCTGGTCGAGTTGGATGCACCACTCTTGTCGGATGGACTGGGAGTCGTCTTGGCTGTGCTTGCAATCGTCTGGGGACTCTTTGCTGGAGTAACCGTCTTCTTGCTTGGACTGTCCTCTGCTGGTGCGCCCGTCTTCTTGTTCGGACTGTCCTCTGCTGGCTTGCTTGTCTTCTTGTCTGGACTGCGCTCTGCTGGCTTGCTTGCCTCGTTGTCTGGCTTCGTCGGTTCTGCTGTCTCAGGCAGAGTGTTGTTCTCGGGAGGGCTTTTTTTCTTGGGCGACTTCTTGTTCTTCTTGGGCGGAGTCGGCGGTGGTTCCGGTCGCGCCACACGAAGCATCTCCAACCGCATCCGTGCAGCCTGCACAAACCATGTAGTTTGGGCTTGTAGGGTTTAAAGTATTTCTAGAGTTTAGAATAGGCAAGCCAGGTAGTTTGGTTAGACAACACCCAAGAGTCCCGAGAGTAATCTTCATCAACCAGGAAGCCTGCAACTTCTCGTCAAGACTAAGAGCATCGTCCAGCTGAAACTTCTGGCTAGCCATGTATGCTTGCCCTTGCAGGAGGCTGTTGCAAGACCACTGCCGTGACGGAAGCTCGACTGGAGCTTCGGAGGAAGCCATAGGAGGCTTCACCCCCAACAAGAATCACTCCGAGCCTCAAAAGATCCACCCTACATACATCAAGTGACACTACTTCCAGGGTGAGTTCTGGGGCATCATGGTGTAAATTGAGCAATCCAAAGTGACGGGAATATGGCTACGGACGGTACGCTTTTGTACGCCACTTTTCGCCATACGTACGCCACTGTACGTTTTAATCGTCACTGTGTATCCTTTCTGGGTTTCCTCCAAAACCAGCCCACAAAGACACAACTCTAAAATACACGTACTAAGCCCCCATAGTTTACATAAGCCCGGTGGCCTGTTAAACCCATTTCTGGCATCTCTAGAAAGGATCACTTCCAAAGCAGCAGCTGTTGTTCTGACAACAGCAGCATGAGCAAGTTTGCCTGGCAGTTACAGTACTGTTCTTCTAATTTATGTAGATCTAGGCCAACGAGACCTTGTCCATGGAGCTAAGGAGGGGGCAAACTTGTGGGGAACACACACTTCCAATCCTCCGGTAGCGCCAGATTCTTGGCTCCTCGGAGGTATGCTATCACTTCTGCCATCCGGGCGTCAGCCCACAAGTCTGCGTACAGCCTCTTGTCGGTGAAATACACCTTGGGGTCGAAGGTCTGATCCATTTTGCGGGCCTGGCAGGAGCTGGGGCTAGGTTTTGAGTTCAGGGCGTTGCAGGGGCTTTGGAGTGCTATTGGCGTGCAGAGAAGTGTCCTGGGAGTGTGGAGCTCGCTCAGCAAGAAGTCGGGGAAATGCCCGCACAAATCGTAGCCCGAAAGGAAACGGGTATTGCCTTAAGGTTCTCAGAAAGCTTTAATCCAATGCAGCCTATATAATACAAGGAATTCACAAATGTGTCGCTCTAAATACGACGGAGGCACCCGGAGTCTTTCAGCAGCTTCCGTTTCCCGGTGAATCGCCTCACCCCTGTTTTGGGGTCCAAATGCCTTTCAACCAACGAAGTCTTCACGAGCCTTGCTTTTTCCTTTTTGGAGAGGGGCCTGGGGTCGAGGAATGCGGCTATCCCTCTGCTGTTTGACCACAAACGAGTCCTCTTCGGCGACTTGGCACCAAAGCGGCACATCCAGAATCCAGCTCGGAATGCCTTGCACAAGCTTCACCAGCAGACCTATACACATATTAGGTATCCTAGATCGCAACTTAAGACGGAAGAGCCGCTGATAAGATAACGTTGCTCAGGGTCTGGAATGAGGGCGGGCTACAAGGCCTTAATTGGGTTAAGAGTGTATAGGATAAATACGATCAAGACTTAAAAGTTTACTCGGGCTCTGCAAGACAACCGAAAAATGATTCAGTGCTCGATCGGCGCTTTGCAGGGGTATCAGGCACCGGTTGTTCGCGATTTTGGGTTTATAGGGTTACACATGTGTATATATATATATATATACAGTTATTTATTGATTTATTTATTGGCTTGTTTCTTTAGGGGTTTAGGACCGGCCGAAACCAGAGAGTAAGTATTGTGGCCGGGGTGCATCAGTCTGAAGTCTCTAGCTTTCGGGCTTGGGGATGTTGGGAAGTTTCGACAGGGGTTTGCCGGAGTGCTGCACCGAGGAGTTTCATTGCCTGGTTCTGGAGGGTGAATAGCTGTCAACAAACTTTCGACGGCTTTGCAGGGCTCTATCATGACCGTAAATCACGGAATTCAATCAATCATTACCGGGTTGATAAACTTTCGATATCTACTACGTATAGCCCGAACAGCAAAGGGTTTCTATAGGGTTTGTACATGGGCAAAGTATAGAGGGGGTCAAAAGAGGGTATGTAGGCCTTAATTTAAGCTATCAGGGCTCGAGGATGTGATTTTCGGTTCCTTATATGCTTTACACACGAAGCCAGGGATGCTAGAAGGTGTTTACAGACTCCAACAACAATACTCGGGCGGGGCTCCATTCTTAATTCATATAACTCCCCCAAAGCCGAGTATTTCAGATCTTCAGGTGTCTTTGTCGAGGCACTCTGGTTACCTTCAGGAGCTCCTGCATGCGAGGGTGCCTCCAAATCATCGAGGATGCTGGCTGCTCCAGCACCCAGGTGCCAGCTTTGGCGAGCACCAGGTATATAGCCAGACACATCCTTCGCACAAGCCAGCATGTCTACTTCGGGGGGGGGGGGGAGAGCCGCGGTTTCAACACCTGAACCTCGTCGAACTCAGGTAGAAAACCCGATCATCACCAAAACCCCGGCAATTTCCCGTAACCCTGAGCAAACCTTTGCAGAGACACCCTTTCCTGGCCCTATATTTACTCAAGAAGTTATAGGTGGAGCCTGTAAAGCCTGTGCAATGTTAGGGGCCTTCGGTCCTGCTGCAAAGAATGTTTGAATCCTCCACACGTTTGCAGCTTCGGTCACCGAGTGGAAGGAAATATGATCGTTTGGTGGAATGCCTGGAAATGGTAACCCAGCTCGAACATTCCATCCCCAGAGATATGACAAACTCCCCATCTTTGGCCTTCAAGATGCTCAGAAGTAACAGCCTCGGTTGGTTCAGGGTGTTTGCTGTCGCTTGTGTTGCAGAGGGTCCCATCTGATTGCAGGGTTAGTTCGGGTCCCAGAAAAAAAACTTTGATTGCAAAGGCCTGTTTAGGGAACAGCTTTATATAGCTCAAACGGACTAAATCATGCATCACACTACCTGGCCCGAACCGTACTATATACTCTTTGTTATCCCATCGGCTATATTTGGGGATATGTTTCGGTCTTCCCACACAACTGCACGGTTTCGTATGGACCAGCACCGGATACTTGAGGATGATGCACCGACTAGAAAACAGAGTACACTGAAGCCCAGAAGCGCCATCCCTGCAGGAGTGCATATGTCCATTGGATTCCGCACAGCTTTGGGGCACCCCAGCCCTGTAGTTGGAAACTCATCCCAAAATTTCAGTTCCAGGGCAGCTACACGGTAGCCAGCCATCCCCAAACATTTGGAGAGTGAAGCCACTCCAGCGAAGACTTCCAAGGCGTCGTAGACCTGGCGAAGAAAGTGGTTGTGGCGATAGTTTAACATGTTCATTTTGTCCTGCCTGCTCCACATCAATCGCAGTGTTGAAGGCGAGGAGTACAACGGCACACAGTAGCACCTTAACTAGGCCCAGGCCATGCAAAATTCTAGGGAGCCTGGATTGTGACTGTGCTGCTGGTGTTGTGCCCAAATCTCACCTAGGCACCCCTGGCCCATTCACAGCGAAGAGCCGACGGAGGAGGCTATCCAGCTCACACGGTGTCATGGCCCAGACAAGACCAGTAAAGCACAGCAGAACTAGTTCGAGCACGAATGCAGTTGCGCATGTACGGTCATGTTTAAGCACGACTGCACCAGTCTATAGTTTGCACGAACCCTTGCAGGGGCTGCGGGCGAACCTTCGTTGGCCTTCGGTGGGACGACTCTGTGCCGCGCCTTCCAGGAAGCACTCATCCAGCAGACCCACTGGGAGCCTGGCAAGGGCAGCTTAAAGGGTTGTGAATTATATTTGGGGTTTCTGGGCTCCGAATAATTTATATATTGCATTAATGAGGTTTATGCAGGGTACAGACGAGGCCATATAAGGTTTTAGTTTGGAATAGGCTAGTAGATGCTAACCGAAAGATTGGGGGATTTGTGTAGGCAGAAGCCAGCAGTGCACATCTAGTTTCATCGATATCACAGGCACTCGCATCGTGGCAAGCTCATTTTTGCCGCTGCTGTTGCGAACTGCGAAGCACTCAGCCGATCCCCAGCTGGTAACTAGAAAGCCTCCGGATCTACAGCACAGGTTCTAATGGACGATGCTGCAACACAGAATTTTCTAGCGAGGCCCCGTCTACTAGAACACCGGTATAGAATATATATATATATATATATATGTACATATCGTCATGTACCACGACAGCACACATCCCTACCCGTGCCCCGTGAAGGCTTCACCCAAGAGCATCACAGAAATGATGCCAAAACACCGGGTAGCTGGTTTTGCAGCTACGGAACTCAAGAAGCAGCCACTAGAAAGGCTGTGTAGGCCGAAAGTGCGGCACGCCAGCTGAAAGATCGGATGTATATATGCATGATCCCCTAGCATGCCACCGGAACATACAAGATGAACAGCCAGACTATTCCGATATGGTCCTTTCACATTCACTCCTGGCATGCCACCTTGTTCCACCGAGTTCCGTGGAAGTTTGTGCGAAGACATGTCCCGCACCCTATGCACGACCATCGGCAGCTCGAGCAGCCCAGCAGCAATTTGCCGCAAGAGCTGTAGCCACTGCGTTTTAGATCCGGCTTCAACCTCAGCGGAGGCGTCTCATGATCATCCTTCTTCCCTTTCTTCTTCGCTGTCGCCTTGGCCTTGGCCTTGGCTTTCGCCTTTGCCTTCGGCACCGGCTTCACCCCCTTTGCATTCTTCGCCTTTGCTTTCGCCTTTGCTTTCGCCTTTGCTTTCGCCTTCGCCTTTGCCTTTGGCACAGGCTCGGGATCTGCGTCGCAAGTGCCGAGTTTGCGCTTGCCCTTGGTCGTCCGGCCGGATGACACATCTTCGTCCAAGTCATCCTTGGATCTCGTCTTGCGCTTGTTCCTCTTCTTGTTGACGGCCTTGGCCACATCACGCTTGCTCCTAGACTTGCGACATCGGCGGATCGCTGCACGGAGGTTCTGTCGAAGCTGAAGCTGGGCATCGAGGGACACGGGCTCTGCCACAGCCTCCTTTGGTGACTTCGGCGACGATGGCTCCTGCACCGAACCCCCACAAAACCAAACATAGCAGACGAACTAACACCACAATTAAGTCTACCGAAATTCACTTGCCACGATCTCAACCCGTTCCGCTTTGATCTTCTCGGGGCTCGAGTCCACTTCGATCAGTGCAGGAGCCCCGTTCACACCATCACCATCCGCTGAAAGAGCCCCCTTCGCACCGTCGCCATCCGCTGCAGGAGCCTCGTTCGTACCGTCACCACGCTGGTGCACCTGCGTCTCTTCCTGCAACATCAAAATGAATACTGCTGGCACTGTCACAATGATCATGTCTTTTGACAACCACACACCCGACCCAGATACACAAGACGAGTAAATGTGTGCATGCAAAAACACATATACCTGTGTACATTTATGCACAGCATGTGAAGATCATATAGACACACGGACTGTCTCTGTCACACAATCTGTAAACACACTTCGTTTATGTGCACACGAATGCTCGTCTGCTTGCTTTCGTAGCATAGACACGTGTGCACATGTTGAGTTGTAGTGACATCATGGATACATAACTAAATCTACTAATAGTTAATTTGATAACTATATATAGCTAGCTAGCTACATAACGAACTGACCATAGCTAGCTGACTCTGGCTAGCTAATGTAGCTTGCTAGCTAACTCTAGCTAGGCCACTAGCTAACTAAACCACTAACTAACTAGCTAACTATAACTGATTAGCTAATATAACATAAACATATACACATGTATATGCATGTTAACAAACTCACTCACTAATAACGGTTATATAACTTACTAGCAACCTTTAACCAACTAACCAACCAACCAATAACCAACCAACTAACTATAGAACTATAACTAAATATAACTATCTCACTAGAATTATAATGTCTAACTAACTATAACTAACTGACTAACTAGCTAATTAACTCTATCTAGCTGGCTAGGTAAGATCGAAACAACACACGACCAATCAATAGCTAAACAAGCCCGGAATACCCCGTTACAAATTAATCCCGCAACTCGCTGAAAATACAGGTGTACATGGGCCATGTGTATGCCAAGAAAGCACATATGCACACAGAAACAAAAATTATATATATATATATATAGATCTGTGGATAGCTAGTTGGTTCATCTTGTTATGTTAGGGCCAGTAAAGATATTATAACATAACTATAGGTTTATTCTTATGCCTACGTTGATTACTAGCTCGAATGCCTGGTCGGGGGGGTGCGCCCAAGCCGGCCCGAAGTCCAGCTGCTTCTTGCAATCGGGTGTTGCCACAGTGTTGCCTGCTAGAATTTAATGTGAAGCTTGGGCTGGCTTGCAGGGTTGCGGGTTCGGGGCCAGGATAGATTCAAAAATCGGGCCTTCAGCTTTTGAAGGTCGTTCTGGGGTACCCATCATGACCAACATGGTTTTGTGAGGATCCGGATCATGGTCCACGGCCTTCTCCTGCAAGTCGATCATCATCAACAATCGGCTAAGCTCCGCCTCTTTCTCGGCCGAAACCGCATCCTTGTAGGAGGCGGGCGTCTCCACATTGGCAGGGGTCTGGCCAAGCACCGCTGTGCTCGGCAAGCTGACCAGCGAGCTTTTCGATCTGCGGCGGTATCTGGGCACCTGTGCATCCTCCTGGGAATCCAAAGGCACGTCGCCAACACCCCCACCGTCGTCCGCCACGCTGGCTCCTCCGCCCTTGCCCTTGGAAATCTTGGGCTCGGCTGAGCTGGGGCTCTCAGAAGCATCCGGCTTCTCCGTGTCCGCCTCTGCAGACTCATAATCGGACAGGGCATCGTCCTCTTCAAACTCTTCCTCTTCCTCACCCTCTTCCTCGTTTGAGGTGCCATCCTGGTCCTGCTCGTCCCGAACGGTCTGTATGACTTCAAACAGACTCCGTACACCGATTGCCTTAGCCACGCAAGCCTCTGAGAAAACTCAAGACATCCGCGAACAACAAAACCACAATGACTATATGAATTGATATGAAGAAACCCGCGGCCGCTGGCCGCGCTTCTGTGCGTCTTTCTGCCTTCGGAGGCTGAACGAGTAAAGTCGTCGCAGGTCCCAAGCATCCAAGTAGAACTGTCGGCTACCAATCTTCGGCTCGATGCCCACTTGTTCGTAAAGTTTTTTCACCTTGCTTTGCAAGACGGCTGGAGCTGTCGATTCCGAAACATTATAAGAATACACACGAGGACAAAAACTAGCTTCTGAGTTTAACGGGCAAATGGCCTCGGCCTCAAACTTTTGAACAGGGACCTGCTTGCCACTTGTGACCCGGTAGAACTCAAACATCACTTTGAGAGCTGGAACATTCATAGCCATGGACTTCGTAGATATCGGATTCTCCGGAGACTCCTCATCCCCTTCGTCATGCTTCCCAGGAGGGAAATCTACGAGGCGGCCCTTCAGCTTGAGGCGCTTCCTGATCACTTTTGCCTTCTCAAAAAGTTCGTGCAGTTTGGGGGCCATTGCCACTACCGCACACTGGACTCCTGAAGACCAAAATGCTACCAAGACCAACACAAGTTTGCTTCTGCATTCTCGCACAACGATCTTGCATGGATCAATCTAACTGCCCTCAGCCGATGCACACACCCTGGTTAAGCGAGCAAGGCGGCACCAGAGCCGCACAGAGGACAGCACAATCATCACGCCACCACATCCTGCACACGTGCATCCGCGCGAGCATAAACTTGGAGTATTTATCGACCGGAAAGGTTGTGCCACGCAAATCTTTAGACACACTTTACACCTAAACCGTGATAGCACCTGCTAACACACAAGCAAACAAAGAATCACTTAAACCAGCAAGCCGACAAACACATATGTAGAATGTTGAACTACACGAATGAATGCACGACTGGGTAAATGAAAAACCTGCATGTATGTTAATGTCTGCACGTGTATGTGGATGTGTTCACATTTATGAGCTGAAATAAGAAAGGATATATAAATGCAACTGAGGCACTTAGTTGCATGTCATTATTCTCACCGTATTCATGCATGCATGCATGCATGTCTGTACTCATATGTATGTATGTATGTATGTATGTATGTATGTATGTATGTATGTGTGTATGTATGTATGTATGAAAAAATAAGTACATAAATATATATATATATATATATATATGTATATATATATATACAGATAATGTATGTATGCAGGTATATGTATGTATGCATGTATATGTTTGTATGCATGTATGTATGTATGTATGTATGTATGTATTTACGTATTTACGTATGTATGTATGTATGTATGTATGTATGTATGTATGTATGTATGTACACGTGTATGTATATGTATACGTATACGTATAGGTATAGGTATAGGGGCCGGTATAGGTGTATGTATATGTATATGTATGTGTATGTATGTGCTCGATGATGCAGCCATGCTGGAGCGGTCCTCTAAGGTAAAGCTCCGGTCACCGTGCAGAGCCATTGCCATCGTGGCAAAAGAGTGCTTGCGCAGGGCACTTGCAAATCTACGTACATTTAAATCTTGCCGACAAACCCAAATCTTATCTAAAACTTCGCTACATCTGGACCCTCTGGAGTAAGCCTCGGCTATCCCGTTCCAAGCGAGAATCGATCCCTCCAAACCCTCTATGAAGTCTCACCAAAGAACAGCCCCCCTGCTTGATCGACGCTGGTTCGCGACCTGGCCGAGGTAATTCCTGGGTAATTTGCTTCATATAGTAGCTAAGGTTGCAAGCTAAAGTGTAGAATGATGAACTTTACCATTTCTGTACCACTTTGAAGAGTGATGGAAAAAAGCTGCAACAGCGCCACTGTGATGGATCATTCAGCAACTTTGGAAAGTGTAGCTTCATTAAGAGCAACTGGGGCGTTCCAGGTAAACCCTAAACCCTAA